AGGCTTTCGTCTATAATGTCAGCAGATGGTGGATGTTTCTCTTTGAGTTCTTCTATTACAGCCGGTGAGAGTGTCAAAACTCCTGAGGAAGTCTCTCTATCAAGGACCTTTAGTGCAGCAGATATCTTCCCTTGCATAACAAGTTTTGCAAAGACTTTCGAGATGTCCTCCATAGATCTGGCTTTTCTTGACGAGTTGAACCTGCTTTGTATAAATCTCACTTCTTTTATCAAGGTGGAAAGGTCTCCTTGCCTCCATAATGATAGCCTTCGCTCTATTGCAGCACTGTGCTCTTTGCTTTTTGAGGTTGACGAAGGCTTTTGTAAAATGAGCGAGGGTAGGACCATAAAAGCTTTCAAAGCGATTTGATTCAAATCAGCAGTCGTATTAAATTGCTTTAACCAGTATGTCAGCTCACCTACAAAGTTCTTGCCGGCTTTGCCAGAGGGTATGTTGAAAATGTTTCTTTTGAAATGAACAATTTCATTGCAATTTCTTCGTAGATGTCATTAATTTCTTTTCAGAAGCTTTCATGCGTTATATTTCCCCAAGATTTCTCTTTAATATCGGATGGTAAGACATTAGGGGGTACTCCCCTATATTCGCTATACGGGGACGTGCCGCCAACCAGGATATCGTTTTCAGCGATTTTACTCTGGAACAGGGTATCGATTTCGACGAATTTTCTCTGGAACAGGGTCAGGGTTTAATTCCGGAATTATTGATGCTGGGTAAAAATTCACGGGGTTAAAATTCGGTCTACACGCAGRCTAGTGCTGTATTTTACTGTGGAACAGGATATCGTTTTCAGCGATTTTACTCTGGAACAGGGTATAGTTTTCAGCGACTTCACTCTGGAACAGGATCAGGGTTTTGATGTCCCAGCGGCACACCCCCACCCCAGGTTAAGGGGAGTACCCCCTCCCCCCCCTCCCCATCCCGGAAAAATAAGGATGCGGCCCATTTTGTAGAATCTTTGTGGAACACTCGCCTGAACGATAGCGCTTTCCTCTTTGTTGAGTTTTAGGTCTCCGAAATCGACTCGACATGTCTTCAAGGGAGAAATGGAAGCCAACTGATTTAATTTTTGCTAACTATGAATGTCTAATATCTTGCAATTCCTTTGACAATTCCAATTTTCCATAGTTTGGCAAGCACATTCTTTAAAAAACAAAAGGAAAATAAACAATTTTTCAGGAGTAAGTATAAAAAGCTTCTAATGTGTCAAATCCAACTTTCAATTAATCATTTAGAAATTCCCTTGATAGTTCAGTCGTTTCATGAAACAATGACACCATATAAACAGTTATATTTGACTGGCGAATATCTAAGGGCGACATACGTTACCGCTGATAATTAATCGATGAAATGCAGCAAGATATTCGATCGATTTTTAAAAAACATGAAAATGTGAATTATTATAAAGTTTGAAAAGCCGTATACAGAACTCGAGAGCGTGTTGTATCCGGCTCGGATCTTTATCACCCGATACAWCACGCTCTCTCGTTCTGTATACACTACTCTCAAAAAATAGCTAGCCCGACTAGTTTAGCTTGTTCATTACAAATTTCTTACTTTACTGACTTTTAAAAAATAAATCATTTTAAGGCAAGAATCTAAGGTAACATATCGAGATGAAGTCTGAATCCGAATATTTTTCACTCCCGGCGTCACTTTGTTTCTATTTCAAGTAACCAATCACACAATTCGCAGAAAATTTCGAAGAGTCTTACGTTTTCGGCGCTGGCCAAGAGAACGAAGCTCGGTGACTTCCGCTGGAAGGCAAAAGTGCGGGCTCTGGGTCTTTAAATTTTACAAAATGTCTAGCAAATTAAAAACAAATTCAAAGGGAATTTTAGGTGTTCGGAAATCAGTTTATAAGCAAATCCGTCCGTTTAGTCGTTACTCAGAACAGTTCCCTTCAGACGATAGTGATTCTGACTATGAGCCAGACGAGCCAGACTGCTCTGGCGGAGATTCAATGCCAGTCAAGAAGAAAGCTGTGAAAGACAGAGTAAAAAACACCAAAACAATACAAAAGCAGACAATTAGCACTCGTGCTGTTTCAAAGAAACCTTGTGAAGAAGAAACAGCAAAGACTTTGGAAACATTTTCGAAAGCTTGGTCTGATATAATACCTTGTGAAATTTTGCTGCAGATCTTTGCATTTTGTGTAAAAAGTCAAGGAGCCATTCCACTATTATGTAGGTAGGTTATTCTAGAGTTAGTTATTCAAGGTTATTAATTAGATTAAAAGAACAGACGTGACAGCATCTGTGAGAGATCAAAAGCTGGAGTTCATATACATCATGAACCAGCTATAATGTAAATTTCCCTATAATAATGGTGCATCCTCTGGGAAATATCCTGCGTCCAGCTCGGCCTGCTCAGGGTGCCAGATCTAAAAKTAACACTTAAATTTGAATAATTWTACTGTAAGTGATGTTTTGAGGTCAAAAATCTGACTTTATATGGGATATGCAGGTGATTGGCTTAATACTGGGGGAATACAGCATTTTCCCACACAGAATATCAAGAATATTGGTTTGAGTTGGCTTACACATGTTGGATGGACATGATGTAAAACAGAGTAAATTCCCTCAGTCACATGATGCATGATGTCGCATGCTTTGGTATACACGGATACTTTATTTTCAAATATAAAGAAAGAGACCTCTATTTTATTTGACAACAGATTCTCAAAACCTGGGGAAACAAGCTAATGACAAAATTGTCAACATGTGCCATTCACAGTCGAGTGTGGCATCATTTATCATGTGATGTATTCTGAAAGAGTGTCCGGTTAGTATTGATTCCCAGTTCAAATCAATTCTGGAGCAGGAATCAATCTGAGACCAGTATTTTGGCCAAACGTGCTCCCTTGGCATTAAATAATAAAATGTGTCTTTTTTCTGTAATTGTCTCATGCAAGGTTATCCAAAGTTTGTAGAAGGTGGAACAGCATGTCAAAGGAACCAAGACTTTATTCAAAGGTAGACCTCAGCAGTATTGGGAAATACAGCATTGCAAGTGATTCTTTAATAAAACAGTTACTATCCAGAGGTATGTCTGGTGCTGAGGAGCTTAATCTTGATGGATGGATGAAGCTAACTGACAAGGGACTTGAGGTAATACTTGTTTATAGTCCTTATTTGTAGGTCCAAGGTTGACCAGCAATCAATCTGCCATTGTGTTTTATACATTTTTCCATATGAATGAACTGCTATCTGTTTTTGCTTGCTTCAAAACTAAGTGAAGGTCTATGATGCGATATTAAATAAAACTGAGACCTTTGCTTGTGTTGGGCTGTCTCAATGGCGATGAGCGTGTTGTAAATCAGATACAACAGTGTCAATCACCTGACCAAATAGACAGCCCTATTAGAGTAATGGTTCATGCATTATTAATGAGTTTTATAATTATTTTATTTAGAATGTGGTTAAGACCTGTAAAAACCTCAGGTTCTTGTCCCTCTCCAACTGTGAGAGACTCTCTCCAAAGTTTATGAATATCCTGGGTGATGAAGACTGCCCAAGGCTTTCAAGTATAGATGTTTCATCTACTAAAGTAATTACGTGATGTGTTGTTTATAAAATGAAGTGTGTGTTTTATATAGGGATATATAGATTTGAGGCGCAGGCGAGAATCTATATACCTGATAAAACATGCACTCTTGTTCTATATATGATTTCTAGAACATGATGTGATCATAAATTATGTATGAGTTTTTGAAGAAGCCGTTTCGGCTCGAATCTTTATACCTGATAAAACACTCTCTCTCATGTTTTAAACTATACTTCAAAAACTCATACATAATTAATGAGTTATTAGACCAATAGAATTAGCCTATTTGGTCACATGCATGGACCTTTATATCTGATAAAACACTCCTTATTAGTATTCTTTATATAAAAAATACTAATAAGGGTGACCTTTATCAGATATAAAGGTCCATCACCCTAGCAAAGGTCTCAGGTTTGAAACCTGATCATTGACCAATGCAGGATGTCAACCGATTGCAGTGAACAGCCAAGAGCGGTTTTATTTTACTTTATGCATATTCAATGTGGGATKACAAGAGTGCTTTGTAAAGTTATTCGCGCATGATCAGTTTGCCCTATTTACCTCAGAATATTTTTGTATGTCAATTTCTCCAAGAATTTTAACGGATTTGAGTTTCAAATTAGTGTTGGAGTTTTTGGATATATAGATGTCCACATGCATGGCTCCTATATGTACACACAGAAGGCTCCTATTTCTCATTATAGAAAGTTCATTAATTATATTCAATCTTATGTACCTACACATGGTTATTCATGAATATCACAAAAATTAATGTTTTCTCAAAGCAAATTGAACTCATGGCTWAATGATTAGGTTTAGGAAAAATGTAGAGGTAGGCAATGCATAGCATTGGTTGGAATCTTTTAAGATTCACATTAAAATGTGCATCATTAAAAAATTCTTTCCAGTTTTAGTTTAAGCCTTTGAGGATTTTCTAAGTTCTTCTTCACATAATAGAGACATGGATGCCTTCTATGGTGTGTTAATGCACAACCATACAGTAAAAGTTGTTGTTTAATCTGCTTCATCCCTACCCGCCTAGGTCGAAAAGGATGCTGGGATAATCAGTTCACAGTTACTAGCTGCCGCAAATATTACATAACCAAACATGCCTTGAGCTCGATCTCATTATTGTTGCTCAAACGATGCCTTGAACATACACTTACATGTAACTAAAAATACGTTGTCCAAGAAAAAGACTTTTGCTAATTAGGAATTAATCAGCAAAATATAAATTAAATATAGTGTTCCTCTTTTGTATTTTGATGTATTCCTAAATCCCTAAATCTCAGGGCAGCGTTTTCATAATTAGGTGTATTTTGAAGATGTACTCTGGTGAGCAGTTTGGATGACACAAACCCAGAAGAAGTGGCAATTGTAACGTTATGCTTAGAACAAACTCGTGTTTTATAAGTGTTCCTTATAATCAGTAAAGCAATGTCAATATAATCAATATAAATCAGTGTTGCCCTATTTGACATAATACTTTAGCCATGCCGGTTCCTTTGATGATCTCTTAGGGTGTGAACTTTCGAGTTGTGGTGTTGCTTCTTGACTAACCACTTTGCTGCTTGGTTGGTTACCTTCAGTAGATGGACGTGTTTCTTGACCTGTAATTTGCGTGTCACCATTTGGATGATGACTGTCAGTAGCCTTGGTACACGAGGGCTGGATGGGCTTGTCTGTTCGAGGTCTGTTCTGTTCCTTCGGTGGAACCCTTCTTCTGTTTCATAATAATAATAATAATAATAATTTATTAATTTATATAGCGCAATTAATTATTAAAATATTCTAATGCGCTTTACAATAGTTGAAAAATTATATATATTTATAAAATCTATTTACATTGAATTAGAACGATAAATGCTAAAATAAATTAATAAGATTGACTAAATAAAAATGTTTTCAAGTTAGCTTTAAAAGTCTGCAAGTCACTGGATTTGCGTATGTATAATGGTAAACTGTTCCAGACCCTAGGTCCGGCTACCGCAAATGCTCGGTCACCAAATGTTTTACAGTTCGTTCGTGGAATCACAAGGAGATGTTGATCGTCACTACGCAGAGCATAGCGCCCAGGAGCCTT